CGCCTGGACCCTATTAGCAATTGTCAATCATTCAGGCATGAAGTCTTTTCCACCCCTGCCAGTCCCGTTTGTGGATTTGCAATACATGGCAAGTTACTACTGTACAAATTCGGCCTCCCCCAGCGTTTCGGCACTGCTAACTGGAACGAATGACTCAATCCAGAGGAAACTCTGCCCAGGCCTGAGCCACCTGCAAATCTCCGAGGTGGCATGGATGGAGGCTGGGGATGGGTGATATCACAACATTCCCCAATACCAGGGTACCAGATCCAAAGCCTGGTCAAGCCCTAGTCCTGCCTGGAATGGCTCATCCCTCCACAGCAATGAGAGAAGTGTTCAGGTAAGGAGTTGCCTATTTAAAAAAAAAAAAAAAAAAAAAAAAAAAGATTTATAAGGACAAAATATGCCACTTGGCCATGGGGTCTGGCTGTTAATCCTCATCATCCACCCAGGGATGCTCCAGCTCCTTCCCTCAATGAGGGCAGAGCTGTCTTACTACCTGGCTTTTCCAGCAGCGGTCTCCCCAGAAAGCTTGCTGTGGGTATATCTTATTAAACACTGTGAATAAAACAGTAACTTGCCCAGACAGACAATATGAGCTATTTTCCTCTACTTGGCTGGAGGGACGACTGATTTTGGTTGCGTATCACCAAATACAAGCCTGGAACTATGCAAGAGAATAAACTTTCTGTCCTGACAACAGTGCTGGTATGTAAGTGGGTGAATGGGATGTACAAGGAGGTAAAATATATCCTGCCAGCGTGACCAAATAGTTTCTTGATTTGTGTTGACTCGCAAAAGTTTGTGTCAACATTTCCCCGAGACGAGTGGCTGGGTTGCAGTCTCCCAGTCTCCACATGACTCACCCGCGTACCTAAGTGGCTCTGTCATTTCCATGCCTGGGTGCTGTGTAATCGATGAGGTTTAGTACCATCGTCCCCTTATTACCCACAATGTCCCTCATTGCACAAGACAAATGACTTGCCCAAGGTCCCACTGGAAGTCCAAGGCTAAGTTGGTACTTGAACCAAGCACTCTTGTGCCTTTTGTCCTATACCTATGAAGCATCAAGAATTGCTAGGTGCAATACTGACAATATTGGGAATTTCTCCTAAAAATCAGGTTGTTGTACATCTGCTGCTGAACATATTCTTCTTATAGTGCTTTGTATAACCACATTTTGCAGCCCCACAGGGCAGGGACAGGCTTGAAAACATGACTTAAGGATCAGGTAGTAAACAGAAACAACACACAGGTCTGTAAAATTCACCTCCTGAATGTTAAAGCTGTCCCATGATTTGGAGGGACTAGACTCAAACTTTCCTAATGCTTGTGGCTGGCAGTTTCCAGCCCTGTTCTGCCGTGGTGAGTGGCGCTTCCCTCGGGAGCTGGAAAAGGAGCAGCCAGTTTGCAGAGCCACTGTGGATGCAAAACCAAAATGAGCAAACAAACTCCCCTCAGCAAAGGCTGGCCCTGCCTGAAGGCTGGAGTAGAGCATTCCCAAACTTCACACTTGGTTCATGAAATTTGGGCCCTGCCAGAGCCCTGGACTGAGCAACATGAGGTTTGCGTGGGTCTAGATCATAATGGTCAAAACTGTGCTCTGTCTGCAACATACTAATGTATTGATTTGAACTAATTAAACTTTTTTTTTTTTACTTTTTCTTTTTTTTCTTCTGACTATATGGCATCGTGATTCAATACATGGTCCATGACCTGGGAAGACCTGGGTGCTGTTTCCAGTCCTCCCCAGATAGATCTCCTTGAGCAAGTTGCTGCTTCTTTCTGTGTCCCTATTTCCCAGCGTCATCTATTTAGATGAGCTCCATTAGACGGGGTTTGAGTTTTATTCTGTATGTATTGCACCTAGTGCGATGGAGCTCCATCTCAGCTGAGCTGTCAGTGTTTCTGTCCTACAAATAATATGTGTCTTTCCAGATATAGATATTGTTTTCTGCATTTGCATTCCCACAGTCTCCTCCTCCTCTAACAGAAGGAAGCAGGCCAGATTTGACAGTCATATTTATCTCTGTTACTCCCACACCTCAAGGGAGATCTGTTTATTAATGTGCCACTTCCCTTGATAAATTACTAAATAGAAAGAAAAGCCTTGTACTCATTTCTCGCTGTTCCTTCCCATGATTTATGTCCACAGTGCTGGTTCAGCCATTGGTCGCCATTAATTTGCAAAGGGAAGAAGTCCTGATGTCCAACAGAAATCTGGGTTTTCGCAGTGCATCCAACGCGGGCACCCCTCCCCGCTGCACACAGGTACGTCATTTTTTCCCCCGTGTAAATCTCTGCTGGACGCTGTCAGATTCACAAGCTGGCTTGGGACTTCTCCAGCCTAAACCCAGTAATACACATTGCGTTACTGTCCACTCTAATTTAGATCTTGCGAGTACCGTGGGCTGAAATGTTTGATAGCCGATCCAATAGGTTGGGCTAATGCTTTACACAAAAGCCTCTTAGGTCTCGGGCTTCCAGGGGAAGCTGTGCCCTAAAATCCTGCTATGGATGAACAATTCCTCTCTTCTCAATGACAGCCTGCCCAAGGTGCCCGGGAAGGAATGCGTCTGGGAAATGGAAAAGCAGTTTAACCACATGAAGAAGTGCTCACTAGTGCGTTTAGGAAGAGGGAATCTTTTCAAAATTATTATTCAAAAGCAGATTAGCAGCACTAGGATCATTCTTAATAATAAAATTGGCCCGACCTAATCCCCCGATCTGAGGACACTGAGCATGAATGCTGAACGATAGCAGGCAGCAGCAAAGATAAGCTGTATACATAGGCAGGGTGTTCAACACGGCCTGACTGACAGCCACTTGAATACGTAAGCAAAATCCCCTGTTGCCTGAGGCCCAGTGATGTTTCAAAGGAAAAACCACACACACAACTACTTCAGCAGTGACTGTGCCCAGAGAAGTAAATGATGGCGGGATCCATTTTTCAGACACAGAGCTGGAGAGCCTCGGGAGGATTTATCACTAGCACTCCCCCTCTCATCTCCCCTTCAAAAATGCTGACTTATCAAAATGAACAGGATTAGTTTTAAGACTTTTTTGATGTTTGGAAAATATGTTAGGGGAAGAGTTTCTAAACAGTTAGACTACCCCTTTCAACACTCTTGAAAGAAAAAAATTTGGTATTTTTATGTGGTTGTTCTAAAAGATGTTTTGTTGAGAAACATGAAGTCAACATGGGTTAAAATGAATTCGAAAAGGTCACAAATTGAAATAATTTTAAAATTAATTCCACTCATCTACCAGAGTTTCAAGTTTTAAAATTAATTTCTCTGTGCCTCTCTACCTCAGATGGAGACCTTTTTTACCTTTAGTTTCTTTCCCTTGCATACTTCTGAGAGATGGGAAAATTCTTTCTCATCCAGATCCAGAAAGAAGTGATGGGCCAAAGCCCACAAGCAAAACAAGAAACAGGACAACTAGATGAGGTACTCCGTATCATTGCCTCCTCTGGTGTTCAATAATATTTCCAGCCAAGTACATTTACAGCATGTCCAGGATGGGTGTTCTTTGGTGGTGGCTCTTCCCATATCAATTTGCTCTGCAAAATTCCTATTTATAGGATAAATATGAATTTAAAAGCTGACCTAGAGGCATACCTATTTAAGCTATCTCATCTTTATTTTCAAACGAATTCTTTCCCACTTGGAAAACCTGCTATGCTTATGTGCCTGGTTTTTGGACATACTAACAGCTTGGGTTTTATTTATGTGGTATATATTAAAAGAATCAGTTCTGAATAGAAGAAACTTGATATTTTTTTGGTTTTGTTTTTGCAAAAGCTAAACATACCTGCTTAGAATTCAAAACTCTCTCAGATTTCAAGCAACAACAAAAATATCCTTTGGCTTGAAGTAAGACATCAAAAAGAAATTTTAAGCCAAAAGACTGTCCCCATCTCCTTACAATCTCAGAGTTAGGAGGAGATTAAAATGGAGATGTGAAGTGGTGAACGGAAGGGTGCAGTAAAGGTTGAGCCCAAAGCTCTGGGCATTGGTGATAGTGGATGGCAGTCCATGAAGGTCAATAAAAAATTTACCATAGGTGTTTGCCCCCTGCTCTCCTTCTTCTTACAAAAAGTCAATTCCAGATATGTTTTATAGTATTTTAACTGGAGCACACTGCCCCTTCCATACCATTTCATGCACAGACCTAGATACACTGGCAGTCACAGGCTCAGCTCTACATGGTAGAGAATTAAAATAACCCACATATTTTAAAAAACATTTTAAAACTGCCTGGAATAACTTTTCAGTAGAAAAAGCTTGACTTTGCAGCGGCATTATCTTTGCAGGGTAAATGTAAATGCCACAGCTCACAACTGAAAGCCATTTCTCTCCTAGAGCGGTTTAAATATCCCATTTCTA